TAGGTTGCTGTAGATTGTGATGCTCAACACAAAAAAGGGACCACAAAGAGAAGTGATAGCAATCGCAATGATTATGACAGTGGCCGAGGTCGTTTGACCGGGAGAACGAGACCGATAACGGGTGTACAACGCAACCTACAACGATAAGGTTTTCGTTGCCAGGAAAGAAAACCATGGAGTGATCGCTGATGTGAGTAGAACACCTCTGATATGGTCGCAGAAATCAGGGCAACATTCTGAGCATTGACTGCTATCAGTTTTTATGTTGGTTGGTTACTATGGGACAATGAAGCTTACTTTTCCTTCAACGTTATTACCACTAATCGCCACTTTCTCGCCAATACTATGATTCCAACTGAGTCAAGTCAGTCAAATTGTGGCTCAAGCATCGGTGGGAGTAAGTATACCACCAAGGGGTTGCCCTCCGTTGCTGGGGAGGGGTCGTATTCGGTCAATGAAAGTCTCATTTGGTCTTGACAAAAATGCGAGTGGCGAGGAAATTATTTCCACTTTTCCCGTTGACTTTTCTCGATTTTCCCGTTTTATCTTTTTATGCGCGCTATATACCCTGTAGTTGCCGGGGCTGCAGAATTATGTACCATCAGGGCACATCCTACTTTGGGGATCCCCAGCGTAGGGGGTCGTATACGGTCGCTAGAGAGACGAGGTGTATTTGCCTTGCAAAGAATCGTTTCCTGCTGTTCACGTTTTTGAGCTTTTCTGGTTTGAAAAGCGCTACGGTACCCCCCCCCCATAGCCTCGGGGACTCGGAAAAGTGGTAGGATGGGAGATAGGGAGGGGTTGTACAAGAGGAGGAGACGTTGAGGTGGGGATTCGTACTATAGGAAGTCGTGTTTTTCCTGAAGACGAACTTGCCCTAAAATATTGTTTCTGACAGTTGAAATTAGTCGTTGATTGGTGATCGGGCCTACCCACCCCAATGACGGCATTTTGTTGGGCTAGGGCGAGAAACTGGGAAAATTTCTAGAAAACTGGGAAAGGTAAGAGAAATTTGGGAAAACTTGGGATGATGGTAGGTAGGTAGCACAGATAAGGGGACTTGAACCAAATGAATAACTGTTGGTATGGATTCATCGTCGTTCCGCTGTACGCTCTACTGACTTATCAGGTTAGGTTCAGAGGGTCGTATCTTTGACACAACTGTTTTCATCGGCTCAGGAACTATACTATAGCAATCAGGACCCAAGATAACCCCAGTGCATGAAATTAGATTGATTTCGGAGAAGGTCGTCGCGCTCAAAATGAATGAGGTATTCGTGACCAGGGCACCAAAAAGCCCTATAAGCGATGCTCAGGAGGAAATGTTCTTAATTTTGACAACGGAAGAAGTTTTCTGTTTTAAAACATTGTGCATTGGCAGGAAGGCACGCGCCCGGCTCCTCGACCACATCTTGCAATTTGTGTGATCAATCCTGTTCAAGCCAACTAGAAGATTAATCCCTTTAGAGTCAATCAATTATTCCAAAGTTCCTGTAGGAGGAAATTACTAGGAAATCACGTGGTCCTCACATGCCAAAGGGCACTTTTTCATTGACAATGAGAAAAAGAACGTTGGCAGCAATCAATCTTTATTGTAAGCGTAGAAACGTATGTATTGATCATCATGTTCAGTCAACTTTCCACATTTATTCACAGTGGATCTCAATGAGCGCCAGACTGTGCAGACATGATAGGAATGCTGACTCTTTGAACGCTTGGACCCTTGGGTGCTTCAACGGACAACTGTCCTTTGTCGTTAAGTTCAGTGCGAATTGCTTGCATATCCACATCTTCTGGCAGAGTCCATTTACGAACGAAAGATCTGGAATGTAAGGAAGACAACAAGTATATTATTCTGATTATTGATATATGTACTTCATTCCCCTTGTAATAATGAAACTAAACAAGCTGAAGAGCTTCGGATTAGAAATCAGCGGAGGCACTCTGTAAGAGAGCGGATGAAAATGAAGAGTAGTGCCTGATCCTCAATGCTATCCAAGGACTATAGTGTTAAGCATTGCACAACGCGACATTCAGGAGAAATACCGCCAGATTTCCAAGCTGCTACACATTCACAGAAACGTGGTGGATCCAGCGGATTAAGAGGAGGAAAGCACAACCAACAAGGAGCAGGAAGTGAAAGTGGCGATAAGGCGTGGAAGTATGAAGATCGCTCCTGATTCAATGCTCGACCGGCCCACTACCACTTTTAGAGCAAATCCTCCGTGCCGTCCTTTGCAATGTGTAACAACGTAGATGAACTGCACTCTTCATTAGCTGATAATGACGTGCAGGCAGTGGTGTCCCTGAGCTTCATCCGTTGTGGCGTCGAAAAACGTTTGCGAGAGCTTCGATTTTCTTGATCTTTTTATTGATAAGCATTTGGCACAAACGCCTTCACCTGACCTTTGCATTACAGCAATTCACCCACGAATTATCACATTATGATACAATACAGTATCGGCAGTATCAGATAGAAGTTGTGACAGATGTCGGGAGTGAAATGCCGGAAGGCGACGAAGATGATGAAAGAAGTTGCAGAAGAATGCGAAGTGTTCATTCCATACCGATCAACCCTTTTGTAGGGCTATCATAACACAGAATATCACACTAGTTGCTATTTATCATTTCCTCAATAACAAGCGGTTGGCTTGGTAGTATCATGAGAGAATCTCTAATAGCAATGAGCGCGCTCAGGGCGGGCATAGAAGATCAAAAATAAGAGAGTTGTGACCAGGCGATAGCTGTATCCCGCTATCAGACCATCAATCTTGAGAGTAGCGCGTGCGGATGTCCGTTCTCTTACTTCTTGCTCATTACCGATGTATGCCCGCGCTGGCCATGGTTTCCCTCCATTGCGGCCGCACTAAAAGTCTAGCGGTTACAAGGTTTGGGACAATTTAGTTTTTCAGAGAGGGCAGAGGCGGAAAGCCCTTCTTCTGGCTCTGTCCAAAGTGCTTGACAAAATATGTGTGAATGTTATCAAACTCGCTGAAGAAATGCCCATTTACCAGAACATGCATACAACGAAATCATAGTGTGTGATTATGGGAAAAATAGTATAGTGTAAGGGAGCAACTGGTCCTGATTAGAAACACTGATCACGCTCTTTCGGGCTCTTTGCCGAACCATCTCTTCAGGTCTGATCACACAAATCAGCACCCGCAACGTTTGCAAGCTTTACTGGCTGCCACACCAGATCAGACATCGCTCGATGTCAGGTACCTCGAATCTGGCAGTGCAGGAAGCAGATAGTGGTTGTTGTTAATGTGCCTACTGTTAGAGCTTGCAACACGAGATATCGGCCAGAAGTCAGCAGTTATTCCCAGCTCTCACTCCTATTATTCATGAATGGATTCCGAGACCTCATAAAATCTTCAGAGGGTTTCCCTCATTCTCGTGAGTTAGTGTTGTGCCATGACGCCAAAGTCGGAGCCGGCACAATCATCCCTTCTGCGCTTTCCAAGCCTGCAACTGATCATTCTCGTTCGTTTTCTTCGATGTTCCCATACCGCACAGGTGATTGCCTCCTGTATTCTCGCGATGTACTAAGCGCCACAGGTTTAAGTATTTGAAAGCTGTATAACAGAGCCATTTGCGCACGAGTCTCAGGAACTTTCCCATGCGAAAACATCACACTCTGAAAGGAGAATTCCGCTGGCCGGCGCTGGGTAACTCTTGCACGGTTCCTTTATGAATTATTGTCAAATAACTATTCAACTGATTCGATTTTCTCAGGCAGCCTAATATTCAAACTAGGTAAGTGAAAAATACACCATGAGTGCCGAGAAATGAAAATAACAGCAAAAAAAGACGAGTGCGTGGAGGCAGCAACTGGCTTTGAAAAGCACAACCAAAGCAATTGCTCTCATTAGCTGCTGCGTCCTGGAGTCCTCCATCCACGTCAGAACACGTACAGCTCATACTTGAATTCAACGTTGAGAAGCTCAAGCGTCATGTCGAATCATGTCAAATCGACTCCCTATCGAGCTGCTCAAGCGCTTCCAGTTGTCGCTTCACAGCCTATACCATGTAACGTCTGCCAAACACACTTTGATAAAAAGCTAAGCGCGCTCCGGACATTTTGCCGTGTCTTGTCAAGAGGACTAAAAACAAAAGCAACACCACCTGCTTCCTCCCACTCATGCATACTTCTGAGATAAGATTGCGATTCGAGCTAGCTCGTCACCTTTTCAATTACAATCTTAGCAACTCTGAATAAAAAGCGATTACGTGGCCGACGCAGCTCGAATAATTTCAATAATGTCCTATGTTTCGTCATATTTGAAAGAATTAGGCTCTATTGTAGCCTAATGGAGACGTTTTGTAGCAGTGTGAACAGTGTACGTTAACAAATCTAGAGCGGTTGCAGTTTATGTGGGAAACATCAATAAATGGTGGGAGCAGGAAGTCACGTTTAGGCTTTTTATTACTGCTCTGAAGCGCAGACAGGTCGAGAACAATGGCTACAAAAGCATAGAAAAGGTGTAAAAAAGATACTTTGAGACAGGAGATAGGTCTTTTCAATGAAAAGGGACTCCGGGGTAGGTGAGCTACTCACTATATATGAATAGCTGTAATGTGTGAGTTTAGACTACTCCGGAAAGAAAGGTACGAGAAAGTACAGTGAAGAAGAGAACATCGGTGCAATCAAAGGGAACTCAAGTACTCACCATCAGTGGACCCTCCAAATAATGTACGGCTATTGATTTTAGGCGCATATCAGTCATTCGCGAAAAAACGATGAATGGTGAAACAGACGTGCTGAGCTTACCTTTCCATGTAGCTGTTTGCATCCTTTTGCTCTTGCTTCCCTTCTACGGTGAGTTCGCGTCCTTCCACATGAACATTGAGCTCTTCTGGACGAAAATGCGATACGTCTAAGCTGACCGCAAACTTCTTGTCGTCGTTTATGGGCTAAAAGAAGGCGAATCATGCACGGTAGTCATTTTCATGCTATCAAAGCACGTACCTGTGAAGCATCTTGGCCAACACGAACAGAACGATCAGCTTCTCTCCAATACGGGAACACTCCCCTGTCAAAACGGTCAAAATCGCGCATCATGTCGCGCATCATACGAGACGGTTCGCGTGGCCATGGCCATAGATCCATTATTGATCGCCTTGGTAACTCGATGAAGTCAATCGATTAGAAGAGTCTGAAGGAGACGTGGAGTAGTCGAGTCAGTAAACTGTAATTGAATCATTGCGTGTCTGCTCGTCTGCAGTGTGTCCTTCGAAAAAAGTGCCCTTATCATTTGGCCACAATGGAATTTGAATATGTGGCTTTTTTGTGAATAGAACCCAGTGGATGCAGATCTTAAGAGCCGGAGCCGCTGCTTGAAAGGTCAGAAGAACTAGTTATTGCCTATATCGGAGGATGAGGAGGGGCGTCTTGGTAGTGAAGGCCCTCCATTTCCGTGCCGACTCTTCTCTCTTATGCTGTTGACATGTAGCAATCCCATAGAGCGGTGTGGAGGAAGGCGTGGAGAGCCAGTCCGGCCACACTGCATCTTTCTACCAATAGTGGTCCGTCCGAAGGCGAATAACCAACAAAGTGGCACTCGGGCGGGCTCACGCTATGTGACAACGCGCCTCCCGTCAAATTGCCAGACGATCTCAGCCGTACGTAAGTCGTCGCATCCTTCTCATAATCCAGACCCGCCTTCGTCACTTGCGGCCCCCCACGCGCCCTTGGCACCGCTCTCAGATATTACCGCATTTAGTTGCTCAGACACAACCCGTTCTAAAAACTCGTGAAGCATTCGATGGGAGTCCCCAAGTCTCTAAAAAATTCATTGGGCGACATTGAGTGGTCAGTATTTTGCTAAGCGCTGCTGGATGTTAGAAACAGCTGTCTGTAGACTGGGGTAGACGTAAAGGAAGGAAAAGGATCAGGACTGTATTGTAAGTGAAAGATGAATCAGGAGAACCAGCTGAATAAAATTTGACCCGAAAATACGAGACCCTTTGACAGAGGATCGATTCTGACAATCGAAACCTAGTGAACGTCGCACTTTTGCAACTGCCTACGTTCGACTCCGCCTTCCATGCATGCTTGCAAAACATTGTGATGGAGTGGAGCAGAGGAATGACATTCGGTGCCGAAAAATCATGAACGATCAATTTAGTCACTTTCTCGAGGGTTTCTGACGTCGCAATGTTATTACGAGTCATATGAAGCGTTCAGCGTCGCTCCTGCCTACGCCATGCATTCGAGGTCCCTTTGGAATTGTGGAGACGTTTTAATGCACAGACAAACTTTAATGCTTTCGTGAATTAGATAATATCCATGGGTGGTTTTCACTACTGTAACATGGCACCTTGTACGCTGAGGATTCCTGAACCGTTGCGGAAGGATTTCTCCCTCTACAATGGTGTGCCCTGTCTCCTAAACAAATGCCAAAGAACGCCACACTAGTCCCATGTGAGCTTAAATCTAAGAGGCGCAACAATATGCGAGAAAAGGTGCGCTCGAGTCTGAAGGAATTGTATAGGCTTGCCTCATTTATTTCCTGATCGCTATCCAAGAAGCGCGTGGTGGCTAAATGGTCTCCCATTATCTCACCCTCCAGGGAGACAGTAGAAAGCCATTTAGCCACCATTCAGCCAGGCTAATCTGACTAGGGAAGTGCATTTGGGACTAGAAACTTTGTGTCCAGAGGTATTGCCCATATTAGTTCAGAGCAATACGCTTGCACTCAAGAAATAGTCTGCCGGTGCTAAAACACGAAACAAGCCATCGCACGCGCTGAAAACCTATACCCGTCTCCAATTTGATCTTCTGAAGTCAATGCCTTGTTCGTTTTATTTTCTGGCATCCGCTCGATAGGCGCCCATGGAAAGTGTTTGCAGAGGCACCAGCCCGAGTCACTACAGAGATTTCGATGATGTCCCCATACCAAATAATTGGCATATTCGTGTGGGAAGGAACAGAGTTTTAACGATTTTCTAGACCTGAGATGTTTTGGAGCTGGCACCTTCAACGGTTGAACACGATGTTTTACCAGAATCAACACTTCAGGATAACAAA